TGTTTTCGCTATTAACACAACATGTTTCGGCCCCAAAGGATCATCCTCAAGTGTCTAATTATGCCAAATCTGCTACACTGCAATGAGTATTGTCCATTCCACACCCGCGTAACTGAAGATTTCGTAATTAAAATGTTACAATTGAACTCAACTCTTGTGCGTTAAATCTTATATGTTACAGAAAACACCGCTTCCTCTATTGTTGCATGTTGATTCACTGCTGCAGAGATGTGTTTACCACACCACTGCCTAGCAACGCGAGCGACTCGGACCTCAGGAAACATCGCTGTTCTATTGTTGTGGCCGCGTTCGTTTCCGCGGGAGTGTGTTTACCTAGCCGTTGCCTAGCAATGAACAGTTCCGGATTTCAGGTAGTTTATGTGTAGGAGTGGGCGTAAATAGGCAAGTAGGCAGGCAAGAGAACACGATGCAGCTGAGGGTGATAACGGCAGGAACTTGAACATCACAGGAACGAAATTAATTATAGCCTCCAGTTTTGTTAATTCATACTTATATTTGTCACTGTTTCTTTCACAGAACATAAGAAGAGGTCACGACGCACACCTTAACTAATTGGATAAGTTTTTAATTAATAAATTTAGTTCTTAATTTCCTAAATATTTCACAGCATTACAGTAAAGTATTTTATATTGTTTATTTATATTTATAAACGCTTTCAAATAGATTCTTTGTAACTTAGAGAACTGCTTTTCGTCTAATAAGGTACAAGGAGTGCAACACACCTGTACGGTTTCAGAATTTGACACGAAAGCTTTTTTCATAATTGGGTTTGCACATTGCCCTCCTGGTCCAAAATCTGGAGATGGCTTGTATCTTAACTCCAGAAATACAAATCTGTTGCGACACGGAAGAACGCACACCACTACTCACTGGCTGGAAATATTAAGCGAACCAGCTAGGCGCATATATATATATTGGTGGGAAAGCCAGAAAGAAAGAGACTACTGGGAAGACCAAGGCGTAGGTGGATGGACAATATTAAAATGGATCTTAGAGAGATAGGATGGGATGGACTGGATTGATCTGGCTCAGGATAGGGACCAGTGGAGGGCTCTTGTGAACACAGTAATGCACCTTCGGGTTCCATAAAATGCTGGGAAACTCTTGAGTAGCTGCAGAATTGGAGGCTCCTCCAGAAGGGCTCAGCTCCATGAGTAAGTAAGTAAGTATATTTATATAGATTATATACGATCATACATACGAACTGTTACTGATGATGAAAATAAAAGTTTGTTTGTATAGTGCTGTCATTTCTGTAACATTTCGAAAGCTGTCTGCTTCAGACACATCCCAATATATTCGCATTAATTAAGGTTGTATGGCTTCAGTCACTTTTCAAGGCTTGGGAAATGTTCCTTGCTACCTGTATGAGGTGAAGGTTAACCCACATTATGATACAAGAGATGTTGTTAATATGGAGGCTAATTTGATGCCCTGAGAAATGTTTGTACAAATTTCACATGTATAACCTTGTAGCATTGTACTCGAATGTTTCATGGATTAATTGTTGTGATTAGAATAGGGTCTATTATTATACTCACAGCTATATATTTTCCAGACGAAGGTTCTCATCCTTACTTCATACTTGGAATTTAATGCAGTTCTATCCACGTGACACGTGCGATGATACTGGCTGACTTCAACATGGATCTCTGACTTGGCTTGAAATTAACTGATAGAAATAATCAGACTGACTCCATGGAGCCCTTCTTGAGAAACCACCAATTGTGCAGCTACTCAAGACCTTCCCAGCATTTTATGGAAACCGAAAGTTTATTATCGTGTTCACAAGAGCCCTCCACTGGTCCCTATCCTGAGCCAGATGAATCCAATTCATACTATCCCATCCTATCTCTCTAAGATCCATTTTAATATTGTCCACCCACCTATGCCTTGGTCTTCCCAGTGGTCTCTTTCCTTCTGGCTCTCCCACCAATATCCTATATGCATTCCTCTTCTCCCCATTCGTACTACATGCCCCCTGCCCATCTCATCCTGCTTGACTTCATCGTTATAATTATATTTGGCGATGAGTACAAGTTATGAAGCTCCTCATTATGCAGTTTTATCCAACCTCCTGTCACTTCATCTCTCTTCGGTTCAAATATTCTCCTTAACACCCTGTTCTCAAACACCCTCAGTCTGTGTTCCTCCCTTAATGTCAGAGACCAAGCTTCGAAAGGAAGTATTTGTGACAAATTCGAGGAACTATCCTGGCATTTGCTTTGTGGGACAAAGCAAAATTACGAAAAACTTTAGTCAGCATATACCTTATCCTGACCGAGATTCGAACCGGGAATCTCTCCAACACTAGTCTAGAGTATTACAACTACACCAACCCTCCTCGTTAACACATTATGTTTCTGTAATTATCGTATTTACGTGTTGAAATTATTAGGGGACAGTTGGTATAGACAGGTGATCTAATTGAGGTACCATCCCGTCGTGTGGCTGAAGGAACTGAAGAAAGCCACGTAGAACCTCAGATATGATATACGGTATCTCGGTCGAGATTCTAACCGAGTATCTCTCGAATACTAATCTAGATCGTAACCGCTACAGCAGTGTGCTCGGAAACACATTTCTTTCACCTTTAATTACCAGTATTATATATGTATGTTGTCATTGTTACCAAATAAGGATTCCCTAGCTACCTGTGACGTTATTCTCAACGAATAATAGTTTAGCGTGTAGACCCATTTCTGAGTAACGGTCAGGAAACGACGCCCGTTGCTGGGACAGCGGATTCTAAATACATGGTGTTATGCTACCAGTTTCTGAGCAACGGCTCCATAAACAGGTTCCCGCTGCAACGGACACGATCGCAACAATAGAATAACTGGTGTTTTCTGTGTGGTACGTGGCGAGAAGTTATAGCCAAGACAGTTGGAGCATTGAGTTCAGTAGAGTTCTGTACGGAAGGCTGTGAGGATAAAACCTGAGTGCATGAAGCTGAAGACTCTCCACCGTTAGAAGCTGTTGCCAGGGAACGGCTGGTAAAGAGACAGCAGGCTGCAAAAGTCTAGCAGGTGCTGTGGTGATTTGTGAACTGTGGAGATGAGCGGTGGCGCTGTAAATACTTGTGGTTCCGAGTCTTGTGTATAAATGATCAGTAAATCCGAACCACGTCTGTAATCACCCCTAAATCGTGACAATATTTTGTAGAATTTTAAGGAACTCGAATGCATATTAATGTAATGGGCCCTGGAGACCAATTGGGTCTTTGAACCGATTGCCTAGAAAATGTGGGAGCCTCGACGTCTCACAATCTTATGGTCCTCCAAGGTCTGTTACATGGATAGAGTTTCACAGAACTGAAAATTTGTATATCTGTTCGGGAAGTAAAAGGAGCCAGGATAGTGTAGTCAGTATAGCGACTAGCTACGGGCTGGACGACCGAGGAGTTTGAGTTTCGGTAGGGTCAGGAATTTGCTCTTCTCCTCATCCCCCAGACCGACTCTAGGGCCCACCCAGCCTGCTCTCCAAACCGACAAGCCGTGCCATATCTTAGCTGCTAGTCAGACTTGTGAAGATTTTGAAGATATAGTTCTACACATTTTTAAACTCATAGTTAGATAGAGGTGAGTGGTCAGCTTCACGTTCCGGCCGCTTTAAGTCCGAGGAAAGATCCACCGTCCCAGTACACATTGGATAGGAACCTGGGGGTGCCACAGAACTGTGGAGAAAACATTCTTGTCTCTGTGGGTGAATCAAACTCCAGTTCTTCAGCCATCTAGCTCTTAGCTCAGTTTAGTCTAACAGCCTAGCAGACTATACTGACTAATACACTTTTCTAATGCCCATTTTAATATTATATGCCTATCCACACTGCCTACATGTCTCCAATGAAAGCAATTGAAAGGTGAAAATATCGTCAACATGAACCATCATAAAGAGCTTTGTGAGAAGTGTCACAGTGCTGAGAAAAGAATGGGAACATGTGACCACTATTTGAATGAAGTGATGAACACCTTCATACACGATTGTCATACAGTAATTATGTTCTAATACATCAGTAGTCACTACATAGCTTTCAGTTTTATGCACTGATTACAAGGGACTGAAGTGAAGCTTATTTACTGCCACTAGTACATATTTTCAAATTGAATTAAAAAGCTCTTTTAAAGAGTTCAATTTCAACATAGACACCAACATTTTCTGCATACTTTTTTTATCATTTGCAGTATATTTTGGACAGTAATGACAGTTGCCAATTAACAGATCTCTGAATGCAGAAGATACTTTTGCTGCCCCACACAACAGTATTGAACAAATTAGGGTTGCCAATCTAAATGACACTATTATTTCAGCAAATTTAAATGTTTATTGCAAACTTGAAGCAAGAGTTACTTGGGATGACAGGGGGTTTCCATTCATGTGTAAAGTATTATTCTGAGTACAGTTCTGTCTGGTAACCTGTCATTTGGATAGCTTTGAATTTTATTCAGACATACAGAAGACATCAATTCTTCTGAATGTGATGTTCACGCTCCCTGAGAATTCTAGTCATTGACATTAATTTCATATGGCAGTTCTTGTTGGCTTGTGGGTCAAAGAATATCTGCTTTTCATGGATTATCACCATTTTAAAGCTTGAATAACTATGAAATTTTATACATCTGTACAAATTATGATAAAAGAATTTTGTATTTTAAAGTTCTCAAGTTGCATTGCAGTGAACCATTGACATTATCTTTGTAAGTTGAATGTAGTAATTTGAATTTTATGATACTGTACTCTATGTATAATATTTTTAATAGCTTATACTTGTAAGTAAATTCTGTAATCAGAAGTAGCTCCTTCAGAGAGGACAACGTTTCTTCTGAAGTCACAGTGTTACAACTAACATGTTTTAACAATTAATTATGCTCACTTGTTACGAAAGTTTCAGTGGCAAAACTCAGTTTTTCCTTTAGAACACGGTAAACAAACACCTTATAAGCTAGCCTTTGTTGTGTCTCACTTTTCTTTGTTTTCAGGACAAAATCTAGGATTTATTGAAGTTCCACAAAACATCAGTGCTACAGTTGGAGAGTCACTGTTACTGAAGTGCAAAGCAAACTCTGTAGTAGAAGATTGTCGGTGGTCATGGCAATCACTTGAAGGTGGTCCTAATGGCACAGTGACATTGGTGAAAGAATACCCAGCATTTGGTGATGACAGGAACGATTGTAGTGTGAAGTTCAGTAGTTTATTGGCACAACAGCAAGGTTTTTGGATATGTGGAATTCGTGGCCCAGGGAGTAGCAGCTTCATAAATTCACCTCCTGCAAAGCTGGTACTTTACAATACAAGTAAGTTTATCATGTTCTTACCCTCTGAATGAAGAACAGAAACTCAGTTGTATATTAAAGTGATTTAAAGTGATTTGCCAGTAGTTCAATTATACTAAAAGGGGAGTTTAATTTGAAAGACATTATTGTTTTAGGTCTTGCAAATTGCTTTCTTTAACTAATTTAAAGAACAAAATTTGTAGCGCAGTAATTTTCTGTTAGAAAATTTATGTGACATGCTGTCTATGTTGAACACAATGACAGTGCTTTTAATGCCAGAAGTTTGTTATGCATTGTTGTGATTCTTTTGTTATAAATATAGAAATTAAAGTATATGCCCAGTTTAGGGGCCTCTGTAGTCTAGGGGTAACGTTCCCACTTCACGACTCAAGGTACACGGGTTCAAACCCGGCGGAGGTCATGGAATTTTTAACGGCGGAAAAATTCAGGGAACAAGTCCTGCGGGAGGGACTTGTAGATTTACGGCACGTAAAAAACCTTATGTCTCTAGGAGACCTCTGAGCTAAATTAGGCAAATTTTCCCGCCCAAGTAGTTTCCAATGCCTCCGGTAGATGGGGAAAGCATTAGGTACCACTGCCAGTAGAGGGCCGACCTCGCTGGCAGAAAGGGGCCGATAGCAAGCACAAGTACCGGTAGGGTATGGAGACAGTAGAAATTAAAGGGGGAAGCACAATGGACCAATAACTGGTCTAAGTGCATGGGGAAAACCCACGCCCTCCAATAATGAATGAATGAATAAATGAATATGCCCAGTTAATTTTCATTAAAAAGGACTCACAGTTGTCAGTACCTTCAGCCCATTTATATTGTCATGTGTTAATGACTAGACACGTGGTTTGGATTGATAGTTGGATTTATTGAATGACTACGACTCAAAAGTACAATTTTCACTAATCCACACACATAATACAAATGACTACAGCACACACTGTCTTCTAAGTCTGCTGTATCTCTGCTAGTCGTTGCTTGGTAGCAGCTACTAAAAATTAAGAGTCCTCTACTTCTGTGCTGAGGGCTAACCACTGACTCTTAACTGCTGACTCCCAACTCATGAATGACTGACTTGGTCAGGTAATTTGCTGCTGGCCTTTGCCAGCACAGTCATTCTTGGTCCCAGACCCTGTGAGACTTATGACCATGTTGGTCTAGAGAAACTTGATGTTGGAAAGTTTCATATTTTTAAATTTGAAGTACTTTAACAAGACAAGCTTTGAATTTCACCTTTTATTAAGACTGCAGTACTATAAGACAAGACACGAAAGAAAGTTACGTGTCCTACAATCACATCTCGCAATGAGGCAGAAAGGGGTCCATTGCATGAGTATAAAAATATTTAACAGTCTGTCTGATTATTTAACTGATTTAGTACATGATAAAGAACAGTTTATAAAAGAAATAAGGGATATCCTAATACATAATCCATCATATACTGTTGATGAATTTTTGCTCCTCTGTCGGGATCAACAGCTAAGGAATAGAAGGGGAGTGCATGCTGACTGAAGGATGTCCCACAGTAGGCATCAGTATACACATTAAGTGTAAATATATTCTGTATTTTATGTATTTATTTAGCTGCACGTTGTTTGCATTTATGTTTGTTTGTTATTGTGATATGGCATGTTGGAATTGTAAAGATGTACTGCTGTTTGTAAAGCTTGTGACATGTTTCATATTCAGTGCAGATTGCACTTATGAATATCTTTAAACGCAGATGTATGTATGTATGTGAGATGTGTGTCTGCTATATAGACTACAAGAAGCCAATTAATGGCCAGGTGCAGGGAGGGTAATGTGGATTAGTAACTACATCCTAAAACTGTACAAAAATAATTTTTAAGTTCTGTGCACAATTAAAGGTATGTATTATATCTGAATTGTGTCCATCTTAAATTGTACATGATTATTACTAGGACTCTAAAATATGATGATCAGTATATGCAGTTAAGTCAGTGTTATGTGACTTATATGTGGAAATGCAGTAGTCCTGCAGGAAAAATGAATACTCTTCTGCACAAAAAAGAAAGAAAGAAGGGTTTCATGACAATATTTTGAGTTACATTTCCCTCTGTATGCATGAAGAAAGTAAGGTTATGTCCATTTCGTATCAGTGGCAATAAGTTCACGGGAATGCTGATGGAAACAACACATCTCTGCTTGCATGTATGATGACTGCAGAATCTGATAACGCACGGCATGGCACATCATACCTGCGTGTCAATAAACCGCATGAGAGCAGGTCACTCCAGTCTCAAAGCCATCTTGACTAGAATTAACATTGTGACTATGGAACAGTGTGAATGTGATACAGGCTGCAAACTGAGGAACATATCTTCCGGGATTGTAGACTGTGTGAGGACCAAAGGACAACAGTGATTGATGTTTCATCTGAGAACAGCAACAAAGAAAACCCAAAGTCAGTTACAGAGCTCTTAAGGCTAGAGGAAAAAATATCCATGACACGCATCTCTTACTTCATAAACAGAATTCTTAGATTTATTTAAAAAGAAAAAGAATTATATGTACAAAATATTAAAGAGTATATTGTTAGATTTAATTCAGATCAATTTAATTCGTGTTTATTTACATTCACACTTAACACCACAGAGGTCAATTACAAAGTTAATATGAGTACACAGAAATACAGAAAAATAATTAAAGAACAAGATACAAAATGTGACAGTCTATATAATGGCAATAAATTAATAATAATTCTAAGAAAAATTAGAGTTAGCATTAACAGGTAAGAAAAATAAAATAAGTACATTTCCAATGGTTATGCCATTATGTGATGAGAAGGGCTAATACACGTACAAACACACATCAAAGTTAATAATAATAACAACAACAACAACAATAACTCAATTAATTCTTACTTATTTGTGTGCTAATTTAAGAGATGTATTAAAAAATACAGGGTGACCACTGTGAGAGAATAAGATGTCTATAAGCATGTGCTACAGAGGGCCAGATGGGCTTTGCCTAGAACATTTTTGTATATACATTTATTTTTTTTTTCAAAATAATAGAAATATAAAAGGCAACTGGTTTGGGTGGGCATTGCCTATGCCCTTTTTACATATACATTTATTCATTTCAGAATAAAAAAATATAAAGACAACTCTTTTACCAGGACTTTTCAAGCTTATAAGCTTATGTTATATAAGCCTTATAGCCTGTGAAAACCGTTAAATAGTGATTTCAGTGCCCTTCAAGAGCTACAGCGTTTCATATATCACAGTGTACTAAGCGAAGTATGGTCAGTTATGACGCTGATAAATGAAATTATTTGCCATTGAAATTTCAATGGGCTTTATGCTAATATCGTAATAAATTGACTTTCTTCAGTGCAATAGTCCAACAGGTATTAAAGTGGTGTGTATTATTTTTTCAGGTTATAAATTACAGACACCATTTTCTGTTGCCAAACTAAGGGAAGAGTAATGTGGACAGTTATTTCAATAGGCATGAGACAGGTTAAATTAAGACAAACTAAATCTGTATGGTCGATTTGGCCTTTTGTTGGCAGGTTTATATTTCATTTGATTATGGTGAAAATGGCTGTTGAATGCATAATCACATGTTAGTAGGCAAAGACCTTTACAAAAATTTACTCTTTTTCAGAGATCTAATAACTGTTGTTATCATATCCTTCGCATTGTCATTGCCCTCCAACTTACAGCCCCATCTGTTCAACTTTCTCACAGTAGACCTTGTGGCTGTTTTTATCGAAACACAGTCTCAGTCAGCGGTTCTCGCCAGGTCAAAGAAAACTAAAACCTACACCAGAAAGTTCTGCAAACTCTAAAGTTCAAACAAGCATGTAAACCTGCAGGAAGGTCCTAGTTGAGGAGACTATAATAAGCCATAATTTAAATAACACAAAATTCTAAAAGAAAAATCTTAACCACAGTTTCCACATGGTCTTCTTGTTTGTTCAGAAGTTAATTTGTCAGTACAAAGGCATAGAGAGATGTACAAAATTGATGATCTCATAACTATTCCTCTGTATAAAAGAAGGAAAATGGCCTTGCAAGCAGGATGCATGAGTCAGTAACAGTTTATATCTTGATTTATATCATACACTGCCTCTTTTATTCTTCTATTTATTTTTCAGTTGATTTTTCTGAGGTAATAAAGGATACCGTTCTGGAAGTTGGTCAACAGCTGCTTCTGACTTGTAAAACGGCTCAAAAAGTGAAGGATTGTCAGTGGACATGGAGGGGGCTGACAGCAAACAATGAGACAGAGCTGACAGTCAAGACATTTCCGGCATTTGGGAATGATAGTCGAGACTGTAGCATTCGTTTAAGCAGTGTGCTAATTGAACAGGCGGGTTTCTGGACTTGCGGTGCTCGTAATTCTGAATTTAACTTCACAAGAGCTCAGCCAACAAAACTTACTGTCCAGCACCCACAGGAAGGTGAATTGAAATTAAATAGCTTACATATTGAGATTGAGCGAGTTTAAAATTGTGGCAAATAAAATTGGTACTTGGGGAAGTACATGCTTGCCTTATCATACACTGATAAGTTTCATATTTTTTTTAAAAAGTAAGAATCTTTTAGTGTATTAAATAAAAGTGCCGGTATGAAGTGTTTATCTTTAACTTTTACAACTCTAATTTAACATGTTAGTGCTACCCAGTGGTAAACTGCACAGCCTGTAATTCTTGTGTCAAGGTCTCTTTATCATTTGGCCACTGCATGTGTTGAAAATGTGTGTCCACTAGAAACATGCAAGCCTCTGTTTGCATGGCTTTGATGCCACGAATTAATTTTTGATAGCCATAGTGAAAATGGATGAGGAAATTCAGTGTGCCTTCATGAATTAACAAGAACCAGTGACAGTGTTTATAATTTGTAGAAGGTATGTGGTATGTCCTTTGGGCACAGAAATCTGAACTTTTAAAATGTTGTAGAGTTCAGGGTTACCTTCCAACATTTTTATCTGCATGCCTTATCTAGCCTGAGAAATGGTCTTATAGGTAATGAATTAATAGTAAAATTCCTTTCTGCTGGGCTGTATACTCTGAATCAGCAGTTTTTTCTAAAAACATATTTGCTGGTACTGTAACACTGTGTAGAGCCTGAGGTCATTATGTGTAATGCAGTGTTAGATATGCAACTTTTGACAAGTTTACTGGTATGCAGCAGTTGTGTACCAGCATGCATATTGGCTGAGAAAGGCTTTGCTATGAGTAGAATTGTCTATGCTAAGAAAATGAAGAGAAGACATATGTAACTGAAAAATATAGTGTAAATGAATCTTATATTATTTTTATCTGACACACAGAATATTCCCACTTTTGTATGGATCATAGATTTATCAGTTATGTGTGTTACCTCAATGGGAACTATGAGAAAGGGTTTGATGTCCATATTTCAAACAGGCCACAGAATACAAAGGAAGCCATGAAACAGACTCTGTAAATATGTACTGGAAAGGGTAGGAAGGCCATGATAATTTGGTTCAAAGTATTCAACTTAGAAGCCTTCAACAAAATCAAGAATCAGCGAAAAATATAAACATATAATAATTACATAATTGTGTAATCTGTGATATGCATACATACATTTTGGAATGTACTATGTCCCTGTAAACCAAACGACTAATTCTAAAGATATCTCAGCTGTGCTACATAAATACTTTTAAACTATTTATCTTCGTTTCAGAAGTTGAATTTTCAGAGCTGGCATATGATACTGAAGTGAGCGTTGGTAAGCCACTTGTACTTACCTGCAAGACAGTGAAGCCTGTGGAGGAATGTCAGTGGACTTGGAAGTCAACACCATCAACTAACAAGGCCACAGGAGTAGTAATGAAGCAGTTCCCATCATTTGGAAATGAGAGCAGAGACTGCAGCATCCGTTTTGACAGTGTGGTGAGTGAACAAGAAGGAATCTGGACATGTGCTGCTCGCTTCAAGTGGCAAAATTATTTCACTGCTGCACATCCTGTACAACTATCCATCTTTACAGGTAATTTATGAACATCAGTGACATTCGTAAAGGTGAGGATAGAGATATCTTTGTTCTTAATTTTGACTTCTAAAGCACATTTTTAACCTTAGCTACCAGATAGATATGAATGGTCAGCTTTATTCTCAGCCTGAAATTATTGAAAAGGATTTTCAATGGTGGAAATGAAATCAACTTTTTTTGTAAGATATCTGTTGTGGGAACAGTTACCACTGTGATATTATGTGTTTTATTTTGCCATTACTGTGTCATTTACATTTTCCATATAAAACTAATTATCATAGTAAATGTTGTTCAGTGTTACATAATTTCAGCTGTTGATAAAGTGTTATAAAGTAAGTGTATAACAGTTTTATTAGTGTGAGACAAAATAGATATCTAATATTTGTAGTCTCAGTATTGTTGACATGAAGAACAAGTTGGGCCTTTTAAAAATTATGGATGCAACAGGAGGGGGGGGGAACTAAAATTGCATAGAATAGGATCAAGTGGTGGGCTCCAGTAATGATGGAGATGAACATTTGAATTCTTGGTAAGGTAAAGAAAAAAAAAGTGACATCCCTGGTAGAAGTAAAAAAGTGAAACTTTCCTTGTAACAGGGAGTGGGAGCCCATAGTGTTGTGAGATGTAGAGGCTCACACATTTTTCTAGACGGTTCACAGATGGAAGTGAGGTTGTCAGACTTATGCACCAGCCTCCCTTTAACCCCAGGAAGATTCCTGGTACTCATTTCTGTTAGAGGCTAAGTTGACCCCAGGGATGTAGTGTGGCTGGAAGGATTAGATCAATTGAAAAATCCAGTAACCTCATCAGGAATCGAATCCGTGACTTTCTGGCTTGTAGCATAGTGCCTCAACAAACTATGGTACTGCATGCCCTTAACTAACTGAGCACTATGCCGTAAAGACACGTGGGGGAGTGGATATATAGATCAACATATTTTTTACCTTAGCACTAATTGAAGATGGGTGGTCAGCTTCACGCTGTAGCTGCTTTAACTTCTGGGGAAGGAACCCTGAAGGCTGGGTGAGCCCCAGAACCAGTCTGGATGACATGGAGAGGCGTAAAATCTTGACCTTACTGGAACTTGAACTCCAGTTATTCCGCTGTCCTACCCATAGTGAGTCACTATGCCAACTGTGATATCCCAGGTAGATGATCTCTTGGGAAGTAGAATAAATAATGCACCCTGAGGAAGATTCTTTTTTTTGTGAAATTAATTAAAAGTTATAATGTATTCATTTGGGCTGATTTTAAGATTTCCCATACTGGGAAGTTTTTGGCTTCAGTAATTTTTAGCCTTCTTTGCCTATCTTAAAAAAATAGGAGGAGGGCTTGTGAGATCACCTTGCTCTCTGTGTGTCTATGTATCCCCTTTAGCTCCTGAAAGCTGGAATATTGGAGCCAGAAGAGGCAGCTATTACAGTGTCATGCAAACTTATATGTGACATTTGACATGACACTTGAAAACCAGAATAGTGCAGCCAGAGAAGCGCCATGGAGACAGCCGTTGCTAGGCAACAGCTTATTCAGTAGGTTTTCTAACTTTAAGGTTCTTGTGAGCTGTGACTGACTACTAACAACAAATCTGAGCATGGTTGTCCTCTCTATATAACCTTGAATAATATCATAGAGAAAACATGGCCTCCAACTCTTCCTCTATTGTTAGCCTACCTTCCCTCTTTGTCTGCATATCTCCAAACTGATGAGCAGAAATTAAGTTTATTTTGACATATTCACAGTCCATTAAATGAGGGCTATCACCAATAGTGCTAAATTATGGTAGATTTTAACCTGGCATTTCCTATCTTGTGCTTAAATTCATTCCAAATGATATTGGTTCTGGCTAGGAGTGGCATTTGTGCAGCTCTCCCAGGACATTCAGATTGCTATCGGAGAGCCCGTATTACTGCGCTGTGTAACGAACACAGCAGTGGAGCTCTGTCAGTGGTCGTGGCAGCCACTTAACAGGGCCAATGAGACTGCCGTTGTGGTTAAACAGTTCCCGGCTTTTGGTGAAGATGGACGTGACTGCAGTGTGCGATTCAAGAGTGTTCTGGAAGAACAAGAAGGCATCTGGATCTGTGCTGTGCGTTTGTATACACATTCTGCTTTCACTACAGCCTCTCCCCCAGCTACGCTGACGTTGCTTCCTGCAGGTTAGTTACATTTTCAGGTATGTGGGGATGTCTGAAGTGGAGGACAACCTTACATTTTATAACGCAATTAAAGGGTATATACTGTATATATATATATATATACGAGTATATATATATATATATATATTACCCCCCCACAATAGACTACAGAGAGGTAAACAGAGAACTTAGAGATGTATTTGTGCTTAATTAAGAACCATAGCATGAAGACTTATAGAGTAGTATAGGTTTTTTTATCTCCTCTTGCTCCCACTTTGGAGCATAGGGCTGATTTCTCAGTTTCATGATCATTTTACAGATGGTAGGACTCCTTGGATGGGTGATCAGCTCATCACAAGGACTCTACTTAAACACAGGACAATACAAACACAGAATAAACACATACACACACCAAACATCCATGCCTTCTGTGGGATTTGAACCCACGATCCTGGCTTCCAAGTGAGCGATAACAATATGTGCCTTAGACTGCTCGGCTACTGTGACTGGCAGTGTAGGTTTAGTTCCATAGACTCTTATCCTTGGATCTAGAGGTAGGTGAATTCTCACTTCATCCTCCACCTGCATGACTCTTGGAGAAACTGCCCACAGTACCCAGTGGAAAGAAGGCTAGGTGGGCACCATAGCTAGTCTGGTAGTGATGATGAACACAAAAGCCCCTGTCTTTGCTAGGAATTGAGCTCCAGTCATCAAACCTATTCAGTATACTCATTAGAGAAGCCATGTCATCAGTCAGGCAAGTAGTTGCTAGCTCCTAGACCCAGTGAACCAGGTTCAATCCTAGGGCATTCCATATGTGATCTGCGGTGGGCAAAATGGCAAAGGAACACTTTTCTTTCTCGCAGTACTTCAGTTTTCTCTGCCAGTTGTCTACCCAGCAGTGCTACATGCTCTGTTTGGGTATGTATATTTGGGCCTATTGTGACAGTACCTTAGGGCTTGGACCCATTCCACTCTAAGAATAAAAAAGTAATTTTGATCACAGAAGGGGTCAATAAACAAACTGATTTTGAAGAACATATGGCTCTTGGAAAAATTATGTGTACAGTGTTTCCACCATGTCAAACGCTGGGGTTGTGTTAGTTCAACAACTCAACAGAACTCTGCCAAAGAGCGCACAATTACCACAACTGGGTGGCCTGGGTCTCATTCTGAAGTATCTCATCAGTGAAAGTTTGTCTTTTTCATATTAGTACATACACTTTTCCAAAATCTAACCACAAAATTACCCTAAAAGCATTTGATATTATAGAATCTCACTTTCATGTTCAGTAAGTTTATTTAAGAGTACAATGAAGGGCGGCAGTGCCTGTTGATACTGTAGCAGCTTTCAGATTTCCAGGAATATTCCTTCAGCATGTTTTTTCATCAGTACTATGTGACATACTACTCACAAAACCTTCAGTGGTTAAAAGGACAAATTTGATTTGATTTTGAACTGACTGTGTATAATGCACATTCTTATTATGTTGAATGCACCTCTATTACAGTTATACATAATTACTGTAAATTATCGCAGTCATTTTTACAACTGTAAAACAGCTTTTAATGTTACAAAAAAGTTGGCTGTTAATTGGCTATGAAATATTGTTTAGAATGCCATTTGTCAGGGATAGGCAGCCACTTACTTAAACTTATAAATGCATTCTTCATCTTCTTATATATATTTTTTCAAATTATAAAATATTATTCTTCCAGATGGCTGTCTTCTGTTAAGAAAGAATCTGAGATATGGCTGTACTGATGATGGTGTGTTGCAGTCTTGAATCCTTCTCTTTTTCCAGTGTATTTACCATTGATCTGTAGGCCTATAGGACATGCGTGAATACAACTGCTACAACTGAGAAAGACTGCAGCTTCATGAATACAAAATCATATGGAAAATATCTACTTGTAAATAATTTTAAATAAAATTGAGATGGTGGCTGTATTCATAATATAATTAACTCACATGATCTATACAGCTTATGTAGCACTAAGATTACAGTATTGTGGGATACCACATAGCCTTGTAGGTAGGTATCAGTGTTTCAGAGAATATTCTTGCTTTCATCTTCAGAATAGAACAAAATTTCTCACACTGAATTATTAAGATAGTTGAAACAAGAGGGTTATATTGGACGGAACAAATGAGAGAAACAAGAAATGCATACATAATTTGTCGGAAATTTTTTTTGAAAGATATCAGTTAGAAGGCAGAAATGTAAGAATGACGTTAAAAATGTATTTTGAGATTTTGTTGTGAATTAAACTACCGAATTATGTTTTCTTGGTCTCAATTTGTATGTAAAATTTTATGTGGAGAGTGCAATTATGCATGTGCGCATACCCTGAGGCATGAAGCAAAGAGGTGTATACTGTAATTAGGAGATATGAACTGTTTTGAATTTCAGTGCGAGTAAAATTCTTAGAGCGGCCAGAAGATGTGAACGTGGCAGTTGGAGACTCAGCTCTACTGCGTTGTGTTGCTACAACAGCCGTGAATGACTGTCGGTGGACTTGGCGGCCCTTTACTGAGCCCAACAAAACAGAAGTGGTAGTGAAACAGTTTCCTGCATTTGGCAACTACAGCCGAGATTGCAGTGTACGCTTCCGTAGTGTGCTGAAAGAGCAAGAGGGTCTTTGGGGATGCACTGTAACAGGTCCACCAAATTTTACCTTGCTGGCAGCTCCTCCCGCAAAGCTTACTGTGTTTGTACCAGGTACACTTCTCTTATTTTATCCCTTATTTGATGGTTGTCTTGTAGAAATTTAAGTGAGGTGTGTTGGCAAAACATACATAATTATGTCACATAATTTAGTGACTAGACAGGTGTTTGGGTTGGTGATTGGATTTGGTGGTCTCTTACAACTCTTAACTACATGTAATTATAGCACTATTGTGAATTCACCCACTCTACATTTCAGTGTTTTGAATGGTTGTGTTTACTCTTCTGGTATTTTCTGTTGCAGTGCCAATAAAATTTGTAGAACTCTCTCAGGATATCCAGATGCCACCAGGTGGACCACTGACAATTCGCTGCAGAACAGCTTCTGAAGTGGAGGAATGCAAGTGGATATGGCATTCGCTGGATGAATCAAATTCAACAGAGGTTGTGGTTAAACATTTCCCAGCACTAGGGAACAACAGTAAAGATTGCAGCTTGCATTTCGACGTGGTGCTGTCCGAGCATGAGGGAAACTGGACTTGTGCTGCGAGAAATCCTGGGGAGACACATTTCACATCTGCGCCTCCTGCCCATCTCACCTTGCTCCAGCCAGGTACTAGCTCTATGAACCACAGAAGCACAAAAGGACCAACATAGGCTGCGTGAATTTACTTTAATATAAAACTTAAATGGCATTCCATATCAGGCACAATGAATCTTGTATCCATTTTCTGAAGCATGTGTTTTAAGTGTGTTTCTTCTTGGTGAAGGTTTCTTATCTGCTTGTCATTTTGTTAAAGGATTGTTACTTTCTTTTAGTTGTTTATTTCTAGACCTAGATGCATGCTATTTCTTTGTAATGTCCATTCAAAGTCAAAATGTTTTTTTTTTTTTGTAAACATAAGTTGGTATAATTTTTATGAACTCAGGGAAGTAAAGGCTTTCAATGAGTGTCTCAATAACTTAATTTTAAGTGTTTAGAAATATTAATGAAAAATTGGAGTTGAGATCTAGCTGTGTTTAGGTAAGAACTGTGTCAGTTAGAATTTCAATATTAAAATGATGCATTGATTTTAGTAAGAATTTGAACTGTAAAGATATAGCCACACAAAATACTCTGCTTAAAATTATCAGCTAAAATTAATAAAAAAAACTTTGCTACGCATCAATTTTTGTCCTTCAGGTCAAGATGTCATGTTAACAATTAATTGTGCGGGATCTTGGCAGTCTGGGGGGAGGCACTGCACTCCTTTTCAACGGCTCAGTAGAGTGATCCCTGGTCAGTTGAGTGAGAATTTTACTGTACATAGATTGAAACTTCCACCTTTAATAAGGATAGACAAAACCTTGAAGATGTAAGTACTCACACACAGGCACAGGCACACACCCGGGGGCATGCAGTGGTGTAGTTGGTTGAGGGGCTATGCTACAAGCCAGAAGGTCGCGGGTTTAAGTCCCGATGAGGTCATTGGATTTTTGCAACTGACCTAATCCTTCCAGCCGCACTATGGCCATAGGGTCGACTCAGCCTCTAGCAGAAATGAGTACCAGGAATTAATTAAATAATTTTCCTGGGGAAGTAAAGCGCGGCCGGCACATAAGGCTGACAACCTTACCACCATCTTTGAGCCAATTGTCTAGATAATGTAGGACCCTCAACGTCTAACATCCCTATGGGCCTTCACAGCCTGGTACAGGGATAGCTTTACTTCACTTACTTCCTGTTCTCCTGAATTGCAGAGAAAAGACAATACAATTTCACAGTGTTTTGGAAACAGTTAATGAAGCAGGGTTGGGCAGTACGTTTTTATGGTTTCAAGGTTATCTGTCCTTGACCTTTTGTAATTTCCATTTAACATTTCAGTTTCCATGATCAGTTGTGTGGCTTGTCACGGTAGCTGAGTGGTCTAAGGCATGTACTGTCTTCACTCACTCAGAAGCCAGGATCATGGGTTCGAATCCCACGCAAAGCATGGATGTTTGGTATGTGTATGTGTTTATTCTGTGTTTGTTTTGCCCTGTGTTTAGATAGAGACCTTATGAGGAGCTGATCACTTGTCAGAGGAATCCTACCATCTGCAAACATTATCATGAAACTGAAAAATCAGAGGCCAAGGCCCAAGGGGGTATAGAGCCAGCAAAAAAGAAAAAAGAGATCAGTTGTATGACATACAGGTTTCTGTAAGAAATGAGCACTTATGGGATAGTAATGGTTGTGTTGATCCAAAATACTTGGTAACTTTCCTGTGGTCAGGAATATGATAAAAACTGCAGAACACAGAAAAAACCACTGATGTTTATCTATATAGGGGCATGTGGTAGTGTAGTTGTTTAGGCACTATGTTACAAACCGGAAGATCACGGGATTGAATGCTGATAAGGTCATTAGATTTTCAATTGACCTAATCCTTCCAGCCACACTGTGCCCTGGGGTCAACTCAGCCTCTAACAGAAATGAGTACCAGGAATTTCCTGGGGGTAAAGGATGGCTGTCATGTAAGGTTTACAACCGCTCTGCCATCTATGAGTCGACTGTCTAGAAGATGTGGGAGCCTTGACCTCCCACACCCCTGTTGGCCTTCATGGCTTGTAACAGGGACACCTTTTTAGTCACCTGAATACTGTCTATATTTCTGCAACAGTCTCTGCAACTCTAATGTGAATGACTAAAACTTCACTCCTTTCGGGTTGTTTCTGCATAGCAAACAGGACTTCTGTTCTAAGCAATGAAGTGACCAATCAACCAGCTATCTCCAGGGCATTTTGAAAAACCTGAGAATCAGTCCATCCGCCAGATTATGAGGCTGTGTTCTGAAGTTTACTGATAACTGGTAGGTAACTGAACAATAATCCAGACTGCTTTGATGGAGCTCTTATTTATGAATGGAATTAAATATAATTTGATGAATTCTTACTGTTCAGAGTAGAATGTCACACAAATTATTAGTACAGTTTACAACCCTGGAATGGTAGATACAGCTAGAGGAGTCCTGAAGAAAATGTCGATGTTCCTGGTATCATCTGAAAGAACTGCTATAGACATTTCTATATCGTGCCTGAGGCTGTTGACCTCTTAAACACATCTGAATATTTTAATTAAAAATAAAATATTTAAAAATGAAAAGTGACCTGCAGATAAGTATATATAAAGGAATTGTTACATATAATTTTTTATGAATAAATAGTTTTAAGTTGAATTTGTCCATCAGCTGTTCCATTCCATTTGTTAGTTTTCAAAATCATTTTCCAGAAACAATCACGACCTATTTCAACATGAAAATTATGCATTATACAAGTAGTTAAATCACCACATAGTGGTGTAGATAATGGGTACTTGTTTTGGCCATTTGCAAGGATTGAATTTGGTTTGTTGAGTGAAGCTGATGAAGCTATTTCTGTTCTGGAGCTCTTGTTTAAGTTGCTGAAGCTACTTGCTAGTTGCCATATACTGTTATTTTCTTTTTAAGTATACGTATATTAGTCATAAGTATACTGTGCCATATTCAGTGACTCACCAATTATTAAGTGGCTAGCATATCCCATCTGTCAGACATTTTGTCATCAGCTCTTAATTTTTTAGGATAAGCTGCTGAAGAGACTAGGGTCAGTGGTGTGCAGTAAATGAAATAAAGCATTCATAGAAAAGCTATTTAAGAATGTATGAATTTCAACATAACAGATCAACTACTGATCAGATCTTTTGCATTCATCAGATGCTGGAGGAAAGATAGAAGTATAATGATACAGTGTGTCAGCTATTTGTAGACTTCAAGAAAACTCGTGATTCAGTTAGGAGGGAAGTATTGTGCAACATTCTCATACAGTTTGGGGTACCCATGGAACTAGTCAGGCTGATTAAAATGTGTTTAAACAAAACGTGAAGTCCATATAGGTAAGCTTTTTGCTCATAATTTTCCTATCCAGGACGGTCTTAAAGAAGGAGATGGTTTATCACCATTGCTTTTCAGTGCTTTAGATTATGCTATTAGGAAGGTCCAGGAAAACCAGGTGGGACTGAAATTAAATGGGACACATCAGCTGTTGGTCTGTGCTGATAATGTGAATCTGCTGGGTGATAATATAGATACCATAAAGAGAAACATTTAATTACTTACTCATGGAGCTGAGCCCTTCTGGAGGAGCCACCAGTTCTGCACTACTCAAGAATTTCCTACCATTTTATGGAACCCGAAGGTTCATCACCATGTTCCCAAGAGCCCTCCACTGGTCCCTATCCTGAACACACAAACTTTAATTGACGACAGTGAGGAAGTTCTTCTATAAGTAAACACAGAAAAAACTAAATATGTGTTTCTGTCTCATCACCAAAATGCAGGGAAAAATCATGACATAGAAACATGTGACAGATGGTTTGAAAATGTGGTATAGTTGAAACATTTGGGAACTACAATAACAAACCAAATTTCATTCAGGAGGAAATTAAGAGGAGATTGAATTTGGTTAATGCGTGCTACTCTTCAGTCCTAGTACCCATTGTCTTCTCATCTGCCATCTCGAAAGATAAAAATTAGAATATTCAAGACTATTATTTTGCCTTTTTTTCTATATGGGTGCGAAACTTGGTCTCTGACATTAAGGGAGGAACATAGACTGAGGGTGCTGAGAGAGATGAAGTGACAGGAGGTTGGAGAAAACTGCATAATGAGGAGCTTCATAACTTGTACTCTTCTCCAAGTATAATTAGAATGATCAAATGAAGGTAGATGAGATGTGCAGGGCATGTAGCACGAATGGGGGAGATCTGGTGGGCAGAGTGCCAAGAAGTATGGGAGATGAGTAGTGTGCATGGGCCATAGGCCTTTGGTGGAGGCCAAAGGAGCAGAAGTCTTAGTGGGAAGCCGGGACAGGAAGTTAGAAGCTTAGGGCTGATGAATGTCTGGAGTACACAAAGTTGGTGCCCTGATAAGGGCAGTGTGTATTGACCTATTTGGTCCTGCAGAGAATCCAGCTGTTGGATCCTCTGAGGGAGGCTTCCTACAATCTTTAAGGGAGCGGTTAAATTTTCCATGACTTAGACAGAAGGCATCCTCCAGCATCAGATGACTTACAACAGACTACACAGTGCTTTTTCCCAGAAGACAGTCCTCTTCATAACCACTGCTGTGAGAACCTCAGTTCCTACACAGCGTTATATCCCATAAGGCAGAACTCTTCAAAACCACCGGTGTGAGAACCTCAGACCCTTCACAGCGCTATATCCCATAAGGTAGAACTCTTCATAACCACTGCTGTGAGAACCTCAGATCCTACACGGCATTATATCCCATAAGGTAGAACTCTTCAAAACTACCGGTGTGAGGACCTCAGACCCTTCACAGCGCTATATCCAGAAGACAGAACTCTTCATAACCACCGCTGTGAGAACCTCAGATCCTACATGGCGCTATATCCCATAATGCAGAACTCTTCATAACCACTGCTGTGAGAACCTCACATCCTACACAGCGCTATATCCCATAAGGCAGAACTCTTCATAACCACTGCTGTGAGAACCTCAGATCCTACACAGCGCTATATCCCATAAGGTAGAACTCTTCAAAACCACCAGTGTGAGAACCTCACGTCCTACACAGCGCTATATCCCATAACGCAGAACTCTTCATAACCACTGCTGTGAGAACCTCACATCCTACACAGCGCTATATCCCATGAGGCAGAACTCTTCAAAACCACTGCTGTGAGGTCCTCAGATCCTACATAACTTACTTTGTCTGTAACTTGGTGGATCCTGATATTGAATGCCATTAATTCATGTCTTCCTTATGTGGATGTTTTACACTATTCTGTGACATAATATCTTATGTCGAAAGATGGCCATATTCCAAGTAAAGTAAAACCAAATGGTAATTCATCTCAGATGGAATAAAAAGCTTTATGATATTATGTTAAGATTAATTTATGGTTCCCATACAAAGGACATGTTGATTATGAACCACAGGAAGAACATGTTAATGAACTTTCATTAATTAATAAAACTGATGTGTGCAGTTACAAGAATCTTGTTTTAGCAGAATGTTTATCATGCGTTTACAAACAGACTGCCTGTGCGTTCATTTTACAGTACATATTTATCTTTCTGTGTAGCATTTACTTCTTATATGTTGGAAAATATTATCTCAGTATGCAGTTAACAGTTAATAAAGGGACTTCAGTCCTGTGTAAGATTAACAGTCAGATGAGCTCTTTGGATTGAAAGGTAAAAATTTCGCATATTAACATGGGTTGTAGGAACCATAAATTAATTTGAGAGTTAAATATGAATATATATTTAACTATAAATGAGACTAAATTATGTATGGTTCAAAGAACTGGAAACCAAAGAACAAAATAAAAATCATTTTAAATATAATTTGATTGCTTGTTTTCATCATTTAGAAATATTATTGTGCAGGAGCATGACTGAACCATGTGGTAAGGTGATGGTACTCTTTAGCACAACAATAGCAGCCTGTTATCAGCAGCACTGAAGTTCTGCTCTCAGGTATGCTCTTGCTTGCTCTTTTCTTCATCTTTCCCTTGTTGCATGATTGTATACAGGTATATACCTTTAAAAAAGTGTGTTTGTATTCAACCATGTCTCCATCTTTCCCAGAATCTGTTATGGTGGCGTTGTGGTCAGCCCCTGAACATAAAGTGAGCTTGGGATGCCGCCTCAGTGCTCCAAGGCCTACAGCAGTATGTCGCTGGCACCACCCACCACATGTATCTGTGACCACTGGAGACCAGCCACACAGGTCAAGAAAAAGTTGAATTAAACACTCTGTAAACGAATCTATTGAATGCTAATAGCCTTGAACAGAGATGAACAAAGAAAAGTTACCACTCAGCATTTGAGAATGTAGATTAGTTCTTAACTTATGTTTCAGTTGCACGTGCACCTATACCATGTAAATTGATAAGCTCCAAGTCATACATGTTCTTCATATATTTATCTTAAATTCATGTTGGAAAATGTCTTCAGAGTTTCGTAGTAACTTTGGATCCCTTGAAATAAAACAAGTACTGGGATTATGGAATATATGTCTGATAACATCATCAGTATGACAATTTTTAAATGATATTTTTAGATGAGAGTACATCAGTTTTGAGAATAAGAAGTGACTGTCATATGTTGAAGCATATGGGTATAATGAGTTTTTTTTTTTTGTTGAGTTCGGTCAGTTTGAAATATTACTTTCCTCTCCAAATTGGAATGTGATCAATAGTTAGATTCAAGTGAAATGAACTGGATTTTATTAAATGTCATATCTTGAAGAAATAAATGGACCTAACATCTAATAGATAATGTATACAGCATAATCTTTGTTTAATGCTTCTTGATTTAAGGTTTTCCTCCTTTTAGTGTTCAGTTTCCGTGACCCTAAGCCAGTAATCTCAGTGTTACATTTTCTCCTTTTAAGATTTTTCTTAAGTTTAGTTTTCAGATCCAGTCCTTCCCAGTGATACCTTAACTGGGTGACCTCAATGTGTAGAGACAGTAACTTTTCTTGTCTATTTCCTGTTCCCTGTCACAGACCAAACAAAGGATGCTCGAAGATAGATGTGCAATGTTTTTGCACCAGTTTTTTCCATTGGTTTTTGTATGTCTCCTCCTCTCTCTCTCTCTCTCTCTTGATTGCTGCTGGGATTAAGCTGCATGATAGTTCCTTCAGTGTGTAAGCCTATGAGTTGATGGTTAAGTTATTAATTAACCAACATTACTGAGAAATACTACTAATTAATTCAGGTTACATAAGGATTTGATGTGCAAACCTGCATGTGACTGGGATATATATCATAGTCTTTGATCAGTGATGTTGTGAATGTTGTTGCTGAGTAGGGTTTATTGGGGAATCTTATGGCAGCATCATAAAACAAAAACTCTTTATATGGTTAAGTAACTTGCTTAGTGATAGGCATGAAAGGTATCCATACGAAGGGGGACCCAAAAATAACCGGAAACGACCTGTTGCGTGCGCATGCTTTGTAGTTACGAGTTGTGCTGCTAGGTGGTGTTAGCTGGGGGTCTCCTGCGACTGTTAGTGAGCTGGCGTCAGTCTGAGTTA